ACCAGAGGTTTGATTAACTGAGCTGGACTTGCCCAATCGGAACTCCTGTGTGCAGCAGATGGAGTTAAAGTCCCCATGACGCATATGAGAGCTATGTTAGGAAAGACAGTTTGTATTAATCCTGCCCCAAGCAGGTAAAGGCAAACCCAGCTATGGAATTTTTTTGTTCAATGACCTGTGTACACTTGGTGTGTAATGCAGAAGGACAGGGACACCTGGCATGTACCTCAAGGGGATTTGGCTTTGGGTGAGAACAGTCTGTAATGTTGAATTCCTTTTCTAACACTTGTTGATGAATGGTAATGCCACTACATGTTGTAAATACCATGGACAATGAAAATGAACTGCTCCCGCTATATCAGTCATGGACAAAATGAGTAATGGACCCACATCTGGAGGGTACAGTCAGTGGCTACTGAAATAATACCTTCATTTGTATACAGTTATTTGTATGTGTATATGTGTATAGTTAAAAGGTAATAATTTGGGCATGATATAGATGATATGGAATAAGTGGTGGATAAAGTGTTGGATGATGCAGAAGGTGTGAATCATATTCCATTTTACCTCTGTGTCAGTCCATGCAGTTTGTRTTACTGTCTCCTTAAGACTCAGGGACTGGAATTGGACCAGAAGCCAGTGTTTTGCACTGGGCCCATGGAAAGAAGAGTTGCTGGCATCTCTTTAAGAGCGGGGATAGCACTCAGATAGAGCTTTCTTTCTTGGTTCTTTGTGGGCTGCCGAGAGAGTTACCTGGGACATATGCTCTGGGCCAGGGGCAGAGAGAAACAGAAGCATTCTTTCATTTCTCTCTGAACTCCATGGGGAATTGTCTGGTGCAGGTCTCCGAGAAACTGCGTTCATCAATCCTGGACTTTTTCAGAGGAAATATCCCATCATTTTTTTTTGGCCATGGTTGTCAGGCGCAGCCCCTGGAGGGGGTAGAGGACATTTTTTTGGGACCTTTGTTTTCTTTACTGCCACTCAGGAGATTCATGCCATGAAAATTGGACCTTCCCTCACTTCCTCCATGAGTTACAGACATTGGTCCAGTTCCATCTACCACTGTTGACAGAGCTGCCACCACTAGGAGAGGCCCTATTAGGCGGCCTGGAGCAAATGGTTTGGCAGCATTTGACTGGTTTGAACAGGAATACTTCTCCAAGTTTCCCTTGTTTTATCCTTGTTCCCCTTGGTTATTGTTTGGAGGACGGGGGAGTTTTGTAATCACAGAGGTTCAGTTGTTCTGTCAGGGCTTTTTTTTTTTTTCTTTTGTTTTCTCCATCACATGGTTGGGAGAACGAATTTCTCTGTTATCTTGTCTTTGTCCCCTGGCTGATGCAGTATTCTGTGGAGGTCGCCATATTGGGGGAAGGGCTTCTCAGCCATCTAGTTTTCTTTATTCTASGGGAGTCCACAAGATTTAGTACTGTTGTATCTAGCGATTAAGACTGYTATCTTGGTTGTGGCCCTGTTTTTCCCCACAAACCTACTTTTTCACTTACATCTTCTTACATTTGTCTTCCTTATTGGTGAAAGGGGAGTGGTTAAAACTGAAAAGGAAGATAGCTCATTTCCCAAGATCCGCCCCATAAACTGTCTTAAACCAAGACACTTCTCATGGAAAAGTATCTAGTACTGGCTTCAGAATAGAAAGCAACACCTGTGTGGCAATCAAGGAACTGCAGAAACGCAGATCGTAGCCACAAAATGTCATTCCCAGCTATGAGAAACACTGCAGTTGTTGAAACTGGCCTTAAACATATACCAAGCTATAGCTTGTTAGTTCACACTTCTCCGTCCTATGCTCCATCACACAGTAACACACTGGTGGCAGCATTTTTTTTCAGGTTTCTCGCTGATCTGAGACAATTCAAAGGATAACTTCACTTCTCTAAGAAAATAAAAGCCACAATCTGATGATGCTGATCTCCATCAATCTTTACAGCAAACTAGCATAGAAACCTAGAGGCAATCAAGTCTGATAACAATGACAGTAATCCACAGAAGTCTGAAACAGGAAAACTTAGTGCACAGTACAATAGTTACGTCTCTTAGCTAATCTTGGCTAATTACATCTCTTGGCTAATTTTGTAGGATTTGAAGTAGTAGAAGTCTCAGAACTTATTTATTACACAAATTAATTGGAAAACACTACATTAAAAGAAATATCATCATTTGTATACCGATTCTCCCTGAAGGTATAAAACTCAGGATATGCATGTACCCATCCTGAGTATGTCGTAACAAAATTTTGCAAGAAAATTTTACATGATTATACAACCATGTACACATTATTACTTATGAAAAAAAGACAATTACCAAAACCAGTAAAAAAAAATCATAGTTTCTCACCACAATCTTGAAACCAATATGAGTGATTGACAAGAAGGGTCCAGAATTATTTGAGGGACAAAACACTAAGAAGTGTTACTGACAAAGTCAATATTGAATTCAAGGTTACTTCCCAAAGTTGTACTCCTATACAAAGCTAAGGAACTAAACATTTTCCTGATACCTTTTTATTCAGCCTTTATTCAGACTCTTCATTATTTATTTATTTTTATTTTATACTTGGCAGTAAAGGTTACAAGAAACTGCATGGAATTTACTAACAATTAACAGTTAGTAATTTACAGACAATTACAGTGTCAGAAAAGACATCTGTAAGAGTATATTGGAAAACCTCTGTTCACTTTGCAGTTTATTTTCTTAGCTTACTCTGATTTGTTTTTGTTACAGTTTCTTCATTTGATAACTTGCACAAATGGGATTCATGAAATGCAGCAACTCAATTTTCAAGTATATATTAAGCACTAGACAAGTACATGTATTTCTTTGAAGAGCAAAATAAAAGTAGTTTAAGCACTAGTAAGCATTCAACTCTTTTCTTCTTGGCTGTAACCCAAAAGTTCTCATCCATTCTCACCTGTTTTCCTTACAAAACCTGTGGCCATTTATTTTCCAACTGTGAAATGTGTCTCAAATTTTCTGGGTATCTTTCCTGAAAATACATTCCCTAATTTTCTATGTATCTTTCCTGAAAATACATAATCTAACTAGATGATGGAATACCACAAAAGTTATAAAACCACATAGACATCTAGGATTGCAGATCATCAGATTTTATTTTACTAGTAACATGAAAAAAGGAGTCAGAGCTCAGCACAGAAAGGCAATCAAGAATTTACTTTCCAAAAAACATCACTTATGCCTTTTGCTGAGGGAGACTTAGTCTACAAAAGTGAAGTTTAATTTGGACACATTTTATTAATTGCCCAAAGCATCCCTAAATACTGAGGGTCTTTTTTTGAGTCCTAGAATGGGGAATCTCTGGGCTTCTTGGGGTTTATTTTTCAAGACAGCAGATTCTACTGAGGTCAGTTGATGCTTACAGCACTTCCCAAATGTGTGCCTATGGGATTTCATTCTGGCAGTCATCAGCAAAAGCACACAGAAATCCCAACAGTTTGGAATTAGAGCTCTTCCAGAGAGTGCCCTTTATTCTGCAGCACTGCTGCTTGATCAGCAGGTATAAAATCATACTTCAGAGAAAACAAAGAAGCAATCCGAACCACTCAGTACTTTTGCTCAGAGAGTTGCAGTATTTTTTAAAGGGATAGGATAATCTTTGAGGCTTTGGTTCTAAGCACATCGCATCAACTGAACACACATTTTGGCACTACAGAATCAATGAGAAATATCTGAAACTGTGTTTAATTCAATCAAGAAGCTTAAAGAGTTTAAAGCTCAAAAGAAGACCATTTACCTAAAGTCAATATCTATACAATGAGGCATACTCAGTTGTATGAGCATTGCTCCACTGGAGTGGTTTTTCTTAGTAGACTGTGGCTCTAAGGCTGATGTTTCTAACCACTTAGTTCCTTATGTTTCCTCACCAACATTAAAGGAAAAAGTAATTTGCTGCCAATATTTGACAAGGCATTTTCAGCTGTAGCTAAAATAGGTTTTTGATGTCTCAGTGCAGATATTTTCTTTCTGTTCTTTCTTGCTGCCTACAATTATCCTRTTGTATATATTGGGAATAGAATTTTCAGAACACTCCTCCAGAACACTCACATTGACTGAAATCAACTCTGTAAGTTCCTGGTATATAGGTATAGGATCACATCACTGTCGACAACTTGAAATAAATCGGAAATTCAGGCTAAACCAATTAGCAAGCAGAGCCTTCACTGACCATCTTGCTAGAAGTCAGGCCGCAGAGACAGGCTCGTTTTCCCACGTTTTTATTAAAATAAGATGAAACAACTGCTCAGCACTATGTCACATTTAAGAATATGCAGAAGGCACAGTGTGTGTCACATAGAATTTCAAAAGTTTCTTCCCCTCCCATGAAAAACACCATGGGGATGGATCCTTCCTGTCTAGCACATGGGGCTATTTTTAAATTACCTCCCCTTGAAGTTCACCAACTCCATAAAAACAGAAAACTGTCGTCGCCTTGAACTGTCTGCTACTAGAAAGGTAATCAGGGGCTTATTTTGGCATCTAAACCATATCTTTCATGAGGCTCAGTTTAAACTACAGCGTCTTACATCTCCATGGCATATATAGTAGACTGATCTATACCCCCTGGACTGGATTATGTTTTGCATTAAGTCCTGGTTATAATTTTCAGACTTTATCTGGTTAAAGCAGATAAAGGTTATATTTATGCTTTAATATGTACAAACAGCAGGCTAGCTCTACACTCAGTTACAAATGGGTGTATACAAAGAGTGTCTCTGTGATACTTAATAATTATATTGGAATCAATTTTCATACTATAATCTTTTGTCATGAAGTCTAGTCTCACTATCAGAGGTGAAAACTGAAAGCAGGAATAAACAAGAAAAACATCTTTTAAAGTTTTTTATCTCGTAGCATAGAAATAATAATATGTAATATACAATAATGCACATTGCTATTCAAACATGATAATACCAGTCTATGGTGATGCTGCAATATTCCTAGGTAGCCACCATGTTCATTTTTACCTCCAATCATCCTTTGAGAGATTAGATAAAATATTCATCTCTTCATCATCTTGTAAAAGACGATACGTTGCACTAACATGATGATTTTCAAGCACAGACCGGTCATTATATAGAATGGCTGATTCAGACCTAGCATTTCAAAGAAAACATAGGAAAGGTTATTTCTTCCCTGTCTAAAGAGAATCACTCAGACATTTTCCTTTGATCAGCTACAGCAATTATGTCTATAGAACAGATATGAGCATTTTAGGAATACTTGTAATACTTTGCTAATTGCTGTTACTCAGTAAAAGAAATCTAAAGACCAAAACACTGCAAAATCTATTTCACTAGCTGAGACTCTCCTAACTGCCTTGTTACATACTTGAAAACAAGCTCTGAAAGCTGAGAGAGGTACATAAACTTGGTATAGAACCAGGAGGCTTTTCCCCAGTTCTTAGGTATTAAAGTCTTACTGTCCCCAAGTAAGCAATAACAAGATGTGACCCAACATTGTTTCCAGAACAGCAAAGTGGTTGTAAGCAAGATATAACTGAACTGATTTTGGACATCTGTGTGCTAGACTATGCTGTCTAGAAAGGCAATTGCCGGTGGGACAGAGTAAGACCACAGTTACTTCATGCCTGATTTTAAACCCCAGAACTAAGATCTGTGATTGGTGAACGGCTAAACTGCTCTGAAGACAAGTTCACAGCAACAGAGTGTCAATATGTTTTGTTACAGCCCTCCCTCAGATCTGCTTTGCAGAGAGCAGTGTATATTTTTATCCTCTAAAACTTTACACCCTCTGATGTTCAATGTTAGAAAAGTAAAATTAAACTTTCTTCCCTGTAATATTTTTATAAGTATTTGGAAAATACAGCAGATTGCTAATTCTTGTTTTCATGAAGCTGGAAGAAGTGTAATGTGGCTTTACCCAGAATAGAAGCAGAAACTTCTTTCTACATTCCCAGTCTTTACTGTGCATATGTGTATTTTATCCTAGAAACAATTGTTGATTCAGCTAACACACTACAGGAATCTATTATAATTACAGACATGTATTTTAATCTAATTACAATGCATCTTAGAAATGTCCTAGTGGGCAATGTCATCTGAAGCCATTTAGACATTTTGTTATTATTACCAGAACTCTCCTATTGTCAAAATAACACACAGACATTCGATGTCCATTGTTACTATATAGCTAGAGACCACAATTTTTGCACACGTCTGATTTTTGCTGCCATCTTCTTTTCCCCTCTTCCACCACCCCAAAAGCTTTATAAAATACAGTGGTCCAGTCTAGTTTGTGATAAATTAATTATCCTCTAGCAATTTATGAAGCTTTAAAAACTTAGTTCACAGATTAGGTAGTGGTAAGAATATGCCCTTACTGCAGATATGGTTTTCCACTCAAGTGAAAAGAGTATGTGCAGTGTTTGTGTTCTCTGATGAATGCAACAAACACAGTTGAATGCCTGATTTTTGCATTCAATGCTTGATTCTTCAAATTCAACAGGGAGAAAAAACAGCAAAACTACAGTACCTCCATCAAAACTTTATCTGCTTCAAAATATATCTCTCTGTACAGCCATTTCTTTTTGAAAATTTCACATGGAAGTGTTTTAGGACCTTTGTTTTTCCTGATTTGATAGAAAACAATGCCTCAGGAATATAGAATATATGCATTCCACTGTGTATGTTTGAGCAAGAGAAAATTAAATGCAACCTGAGAAAGTGAACTTTCCTCCTTTAAAGTTTGAAAACAGAAGTTGCTCCACTTTTCTAAGGTGGTTATGCTGTTGTTCACCAAAGTTTTCCCCTCCATTTCCCAACCCTTCATCATGATTTGCAGTGGCCTCACCGTGTCTGGATGTGAAAATTGTTGGTGGTTCCAGTGTGTTCATAGTCATGTATGGCAGCTGCAAAAATCATAGCGAAGATCTCCAGCTCTGCCAGCCAGTGCTGAAAAGAGATTACAGAACAATCAGGTAAGCTGTCTTTTTCTCAGGCTTTTGTCTTTGAAGGTAAGTTATCTATCCTTTGTTGACAGTCAGTGTTGCATGTCATTGCCTTTCCCCTGCAGCCTGGCAGCTGTTTTAAAGCAAACTACTTAGACTGATACATAAAAGTCAAACCAGTGTTCATCTTAGACCTTCACCTGAATAGATTGAACTTCAGCAAAATGGTTTCAGGATCTAATAAGGTTTAAGGCAGAGTAAGGGGAAATGTGTGCCCTTCTGAAAGAGCAATGTTTGAAGAAGAAAGACAAGGAAAACTCAAKAAAATCAAGGTTCATCATGGGGAACTTGATGATACATGTGCAGGTAAACACATACCAGCAGAATATGTGTTTTAAGTTCCGTTTACCTGGGTAGCAGAACCTCAGATACAGAAGAATGTCACTAGTTCCCAGTAAATAAAGTCTTTGTCAATCACTGAATCATGAAAAGAACAAGCAAGATAACCTCAAAAGATGTACATCTTGTTATTTATCTATAATTTTTAGAAACATTTGAGAAAGCCCTGAAGTTTGGGGGG